AAATGGCCTCAAGTTGCACCAGGGGAGGTTTAGATTGGACGTGAGGAAAAATTTCTTCACTGGAAGAGTGGTTAAACATTGGAACAGGCTGCCCAGGGAAGTGGTTGAGTCCCCATCCCTGGAGGTATATAAAAGACGCGTAGATGAGTTGCTTAGGGACATGGTTTAGTGGGCATGGTGGTGTTGGGTTGATGGTTGGACTCGATGATCTTAGAGGTCTTTTCCAACCTTTATGATTCTATGATTCTATGAAAGCTCTCACAAATTAGAATGCCACCAGAACTTATCGGCTTATTTAAAGCCAAGATGATGGCTGAAATTTTACTCTCTTCTCAGATTCTTATAAACAGCTCTGGATATAACTTCTTTAACGGTATTTCTGAGGACCTGTGTAATGCTGAAGATTTTAACACAGGTGACTGATCTTGAGAAGGAAAGAAGTGACTTGGAACTACAGGATGGGTAGCTGTGGTAGTATTGTGGTAGCATTATGGTACTTTGTACATTTTTTTTTCATGGGAGCTGTTGATGGATGACTAATTGCAAAGGAGAGTTTCCCTATGTGAACTAGCAGTAGAAAAGCAGACCTCCTCCATGTTTTTCTGAGGGTTGGGAACTGCTGCTAGAAATGACGGTAAGGAGGGAACGGTCCCCTCTTCTCCCATGTGTATGCCCACAAGATGACCTAGAGCGTGTGGTTAGTGAAATGGCAGTGTGCTCCGGTGCTAGCATTGGACTTTTGACACTCTGTAGGTGCAACCTTAAATAGGAGCAAGAAATCTAAAAATCTTGGTATATGCAAAGTAATAATTTCATACTTGTTTTTCTCAAATAGTAAACATGTAATTGTACTTGTCATGTGCACATAAAGACGACTGTTGAATAACTGAGATGTCCTGAAGATACTCACACTCCAGGAGACTTTCCCAGGATCATTCAGACTTGAAGGAATTTGTGTACATACCACAAGGGTTCTTGCTGAATAAGAAGGAGCATGTGCATGCAGTTGTAGTTCTCATGTTTAGGGTTTCAGTGTCGCAACTGTAATGTGCTCCCTAGGGCGTTTTGGAAAAGCACTCTACCCTGCTTTAAAAATGCATGTTGTCCAGTCGAAGTGAGAATAATTCCTCTTCTGCTTGCCCTGTGAATAAATCAGCTGTACCACCCCTTATTTACTCTCTGCCAGCAACCTAATCTTTTGCCTTCCGTATCTCCTCAGTATGTTGCAAGAGCAATGCCCTCTCCCTTTTCTTTCTATGCCAAAAGTCTGGTGGGAAAGCGCAGAAGATGCAAGCCTTTGGTAGGACAGATGAAGGGTTTTGGACAGGGTACACTTCAATTTCTAGACTGATGAATATTTTGGCATCTGGACTGAATTTTAACCTTTCTCCTTCTCTCCCTACTTCAAAATTACAGAAAATAAAATAGGAATCCATACATTTTTGTCATGGCAGAGATTTACAAGAACCATCTCTTCTTTCAAAACATTCTGCTCCAATATACAAATTGTTGGTTATGATATTTCAGTAATAAACAATGAGCTACTTTAATTCTTCAATATTAAATACAGATATTTTAGTTCTTGTGAATAGGAAAGGAATATTGGAGAGATGCAAATTGTAACCGTTGTTTACTCTATGGGCAACTTTGGTTTATGACTTCTGTGCCAAGTATCGTCAACCATTGCCAGCCACTTTTTAATGAGAAACACCTTTAGTGACATTAATAGCTATTGTAGCTCATCTAAAAAGATGCAAATAATATATACTACTTTGGAAAACTCTCTAAATCGGAAAAGAATTTTATAGTTCATAAGTATTTTGATACAAAGACAGAATTTGTTTATAATGCTTACCTTCAGCTAAAATAAATGCCACTTCATTATTCTTCAGAAACTTACACTGTGAACTTGGTGTTTCAGGTCTAACTAGTTGTTGTTGATAACTTTCTAGCTAAATTCATCAAGCGGTCTGTTAGGAAAGAAATTAAGTGATCACCTGCTGGATTTGATTCAACTCTCTGCCTTGTTTCTTTAGAGTAAGGCGTCAAACAAGGTTGGATACCTCAGTGCCTCTACAGTTTAAAAAGTAACATCAGCATGCAGCTTTGCTATCTAAACAAAAACTGAATTAGACATAGGAAATTTGTGGCAGTTTGTAGTTCATCATATAGAAAAAAAGAATCAAGATTAATGTTTCTGAAGCTTTTTCCAAAAGCATGTGTCTTTAGGTGCACGTTTAACTTGCTGACAGTGTTACAACAGTGACAAAAGTGTGCAACAAAAGTGGTGTTGTAGATGTTTGTCAAAGTCAGTAAAGACTGATTGAGGCAGCCAGGTCTTTGGGAATTATAGCCTTCAAGTATTAGAAAGGCATCTTTGTGCATTATCTACTTAGACCAAAATTAATTTTATTATATAGATGCAGTTTCAGTTATTACTTAGTCGCGATAGCCCTTAATTTTGTACTAAAATTAACTTCTCCCTTTCTCAGGCTGACATCTGGTCATTGGGAATCACTGCTATTGAACTAGCCAAAGGGGAGCCTCCCAACTCTGATATGCATCCGATGAGAGTTCTGTTTCTCATTCCGAAAAACAATCCTCCAACTTTATTAGGAGAATTCAGTAAACCTTTTAAAGAATTCATTGATGCATGTCTGAATAAGGACCCAACATTTGTGAGTAGATATGTGTGTGTATATAGATGTTTTGGTTTTGTTTTTCACTCTCTCATGCTTGCAAAGCATTTTGCTGGTGTAGTGCATCATAATTGATTGAAATAATTTTAGAGACTATACTTTCCACTGTTAATGGTGTTTTTTAATAGCTGTGTCTCCATCCTAGTCTCTTTTGTTTAAAATACTGAAAGGGGGAGGGGGAATGCTGAAAGAAATGATGGTGACAGAGGCAGCTTCCTAAAATGCACTCAAACTTAGGATACTGTCAGAAGAGAAGGTTTAACAGGAGAGAACTTGAATCTCTTTCTCCAGCAGAACTTTTGCTCTCTGTCTGAATTCTGCTTACAAGGAAATGTTGCATTGGAGAATTTTGATTAGTCATTTTCCTGGGTGTGTACCTTCTAGCATAGAAGGATAAGCAATATAGTCTGTGTGCGACTTGATCATATTTTTAGAGCGCTTGTAAATGTGGATTACTGGCTTTTCTTGACTTCCTGTTTCACTAATTTCCTGGTACTATATGAGTTAGCTCTAGAAGTCAGTTGTCTTACTAAATCTCCCCTATTAACATTTAAAATCATGAAATGTTAGCATAACATTAAATATTTAAGTGTTTCTTACAGCGCCCTACTGCAAAAGAACTTCTGAAGCACAAATTCATTATGAAAAATGCCAAGAAGACTTCATATCTGACAGAACTGATTGATAGGTTTAAGAGATGGAAAGCAGAGGGACATAGTAGTGATGAAAGTGATTCCGATGGTTCTGATTCGTAAGTTTATTTTCAGTTTAGTCTCTTTAAATATTTAAGTGTTTCTTACAGCGCCCTACTGCAAAAGAACTTCTGAAGCACAAATTCATTATGAAAAATGCCAAGAAGACTTCATATCTGACAGAACTGATTGATAGGTTTAAGAGATGGAAAGCAGAGGGACATAGTAGTGATGAAAGTGATTCCGATGGTTCTGATTCGTAAGTTTATTTTCAGTTTAGTCTCTTTTGGGCTTTTTTTTTTTTTTTTTAATGTTACTAAAGTAGGTTTGTTGCAGTTTCTCTGTGTAATTAATTCCTCTTCTGTATATGTCTTTGTTCCATATGTTTTTCATTGGCTTCTTTGAAGAAAACCCCTTGTATGAACCTAAAGACTAATGCATAAGTCAAGCTATGCGCTCATTATCTTTCTCGCTGAACTCAATTTCAGTTCTGTTTAAGTGCTGTGCATTTCCTAGTCTAGGGCTAGTGGTTATACCAAAAACAATGAATCACAATTAGAAATATTGCAGAGCAAGGTTGAGGTATACGAAGAAGTTTGCCCAATGCCTGTGGAACAGCATACATTCTGTAAGTCTCTTGTTTTTCTGGATATCAGATAACTGTTTTAAATGGGATGCCATGGGAGAAGGTAAGCTTTATGTATAGATAACATCTTTGGTTTGCTTTGATCGTATTTCAATTTATTCAGCCTCTGAAGTTGTGTTTTTAAAGTTCAGTTAATGTTTCAATACGTGTTTTTCTTCTTATTTTAAGGAATACGAAACTAATCCATATAGGTTTATTATGTATGTGGGTTTATCTATGCTTGCTTAGCCTTATGTTGTGGCTAGTATTATGTACATGGTATCCTTTTTCTTCAGGGAGTCCAGTAACAAAGAAAATAACTCTCATCCTGAGTGGAGCTTTACTACAGTTCGAAAGAAGCCAGATGCAAAGAAGCTGCAGAATGGGACGGTATGTACAGTCTGAAGAGTTCTTCTTTCTAAGTGCAGGTTTTGAAGCCAATTTAAGGAAGATAGTGATAAAGCTTAGTAATTACTCACTTTTCATAAGAACTGACTATCTTTTTGTAGTTCAAGAGATGATGATTGTTAGTGATACTTCCTATGCCCATGTCAGCCTTAAATGCAAAAGATACCTCATACTAATAGATCAGTATCTGTTCACAGAGGTGGGAATTTAAACACTTATATAACATTAGAAAGGAAAAACAGTTCAGTTTTTCCTACAATACGTGACATTGTTTCAGATGTGTCATCAGGCATCTGTTTCCACATCACATAACATTTGACGTACTGTGCCTTCATTGTTTTTGTAATGTATTTCAAGCGCTTTGTTGAATTTCACTGAACTTTCAAAATCACATGTGCTGTGTTAAATGCAGCATATACGTTGTATAGGAATATGCTAATGTAATCCTTATTTGTTAACTTGTAGGATCAGGATCTTGTTAAAACCCTGAGTTGTTTAACTATGATAATTACCCCTGTGTTTGCTGAGGTAAGTCTTGACTTTAAAAACTTCTTTGGAAGTATTGCCCCAGTGTGATAAGTTTGATAAGTTTTATCTGTTTTGGTTTGCTACTCAGCTCAAACAGCAGGACACAAATAATGCTAGCAGAAAGAAAGCAATTGAGGAACTTGAGAAAAGCATCAATATGGCAGAAGCAACGTGTCCAGGGATCACAGATAAGATGGTGAAGAAACTTATGGAGAAATTTCAGAAGTAAGTTAAGGATTTTTTTTTTATGCATTGTAAAAAAAAAAAAAAAAAAAAACAAAAAAAAACCCAACAGCTTTC